ACAAGTATGTGCTGATTCCATTGGAACTGATATTTTCAGCGGAGTAGGAGGACAGATGGATTTTATCCGTGGAGCATCATTGAGCGAAGGAGGAAAGCCTATCATCGCTCTGCCGTCCACTACTAAAAGCGGAATATCGAAACTAGTTCCAACATTGAAAGTTGGTGCAGGTGTAGTGACTACGCGTGCCCACGTTCATTATGTAGTAACGGAATATGGTATTGCCGATCTTTATGGAAAGAATATTGCGCAGCGTGCTAAAGCCATCATTCAAATAGCGCATCCCAATCACCGAGAAGAATTGGAGCGACAGTCGTACGATTTGTATGGAAAGTGCTGGTGATTCGGTATTATTGTACAACAGCACTTTATGAAACATTTTCTTTTTCTTCTGGTTTGGAGCAGTGATGGTAGCTGTCAATACCTACCAAAATAAAGCGCCTTTTATTCTTCTTCACTTTTTTTGTGCATTAGTGGTGGTGTTCAGCACCGACTTTTTAAAGGGCTATGCCGCCTCATTACTTCGTTATCACATCCAAGGGAATATACTCTTGTATCTCAGTAACTTATCGGGTTTAATTCTCGTTTATTTCGGTTTGAAATTGATGTTTTTCCACTAATGTTTTCTCTTCAGTTTTAACAGAAACGTTAAATGTTTAATGTTATAAAACATTGCTCAATGCGCATTGTTACTACATTATTCAATATCTTTGTACATCAAAATTAATAATCATGAAAAACATAAAATCAATATTTATAGCATTTATGCTGGTCATATCTGCAGGTGCATATGCGCAAAACAACATGGAAGATGTTGTGTATTTAAAGAACGGTAGTTCGTATCGTGGAATTATTGTAGAGCAGATTTTAGGCGAGAGTATTAAAATTCAAATTGCTGGAGGAAGTGTAATTGTATTTCCTGTTGCAGATGTTTACAAAATCACTAAAGAGGCGGTGAAGGTAGAAAAGGCAGAACCTAATGCTTGTCCTCATCACGGACAAGAAATGGGATACGGTTATCATCATTGCATGGGCGATACATCTCGTAAGCCGGCATACATGCGTAATCACAGATTTTTTGGAACGATTGATTTTCGTCCGGGGATCAATAACATTGGATTGCGTTTAGTACGTGGTGTGAAAATTAATCACTTTGTTTCGTTGGGCATTGGTTTGGGTGTTGATGGCGTATATTTCGGTAAAGGGATTTCATGGGGCAAAGGTGTTTACGACAATAAGAATGTAAACAATGGATTGTATGTGCCACTTTATTTGTCGGTTTCTGGCGATATGTTAAAGGCAAGAGCAACACCTTTCTATTATGTAGAAGCGGGCTATGCATTTCATCCGGCAAATCCATTTGTAGCTAAAAATCCAACCGACAAAAGTTGGGGAGGTCCCATGGCTGCTGCGGGTTTGGGTTTTAAAATGTACAGTAAAGGGCGTTCAAGTATGGGGATTAGTATAGGTGGAAATTATCGCTCCGACATTTATAGAAAACCTACAGTGAGCGGTATTGCCGGGAAATTCTTTGGTACTTTAGGCTTGTCGTTTGGGTTTTAAAAATTAACGCTAAAATATATTGTGGTCGGATAAATGTCCGACCATTTTTTTGAGAATAATACAAGAAGAATAGTGATGAACATCATCTTCTATTCTAATAGATAAGCTAACTTAGCGACTCAAAATGTTACTATGCAATATGTATCGGCTGAAGAAGCAGTTGGACTGATAAAGAATAATGAACGGGTGTTTATTCATGGTGGTTGTGCTACTCCGGAGCGATTAGTAAATGCGCTCACCCATAGAAACAAGGAGTTAAGCGGCATTGAAATCACACACATGCATACCGAAGGTGAAGCGCCATATGCTCGTCCCGAATTTTCTGAGGCTTTTCATGTGAATGCATTCTTTATTGCGAAAAATATTCGGCAGTATGTGAACGAACAACATGTACAATACATACCTATGTTCTTGAGTGAAATTCCGATGTTTATTCGCAGTGGTAAATTCCCAATTGATACAGCATTGATACACGTTAGTCCGCCTGATCAGCATGGCTATTGTTCATTAGGCGTATCTGTTGATATAGCTCGTTCTGCATGTGATATGGCAACGAAAATCATTGCGCTTGTCAATCCGAGAATGCCTAGAACCATTGGTGATAGTATGATTCACGTGTCGCGCATTACAGCAGCAGTTTATACCGAAGATTCAATTTTTGAAACGGCACCCACTGCAATGACAGATATTGAAATACAAAT